TTAATATTTATTCATGGCTTATGTTAATCAGTTAACATTTATTGTACAGTAAGTGCCAGCATATTGATTTCAGAAACGTTTTGCAGCCTGTACAAGGAGGCTTATTTTGTACCGTAGATCAGTGTCTGAAAGCAGGATCTTCTATAGTTCCATGATTTTTTTGCATGCTGCTTTTTCTCTGGATCTCTCCTACCCCTGTTTGAGTGAGTGAAGCAATATTTTTCCATGTCATGTATATACCTGCACTTGTAAGGGTTTTGGTTGTTGTAGAGAAACACAATACTTTATACATTTTGTAAAACTTCTGCAGAACCATAGCATCTTGAACTTTCTCTTCTATGATCTTTCACTGTTGACCTTGTGCATAATCTTCTTGCCCTCTACTAAAATGCATAATATTAAGATTTCACATAATAACTACTAACCTGTTGTTTTCTTCTTGCTCTGTTTTACTGAATTGCAGACTGTAATTCTCAAATGATTGTACTTCACCTGATGTAACAGATGTGTCATCAGCAGGGCTAACTACTATAATACTTTGTTTTGCTGAATGGGAAGAATGTTATCACAACATGTGTAGTCAGTCTCTTGCTAGCTTGTGGGAATCTTCTGTGATGGCTTTTCGTCGTTCACTTGCTCTTACACACTTGCATCCCCTCCGGTATGTGCTGACTGTTATGATGAGGCAAATACTGGGTGGAGCTATCTGAAGGAAGAGCTGGAGACCATCTGCTGCTCTCTGAAGGCTAGTGAAGCAATTGGCAGTGAATTTTTGCTCTGTATTCTGAGACTGTGCCTCACTTGGTGAATCCTACGTGCGCATTAGTGAGTTGATTTTCCTTTTCTGATACAAAGCAAATATGAAACTGTGAATTGTGCTCGAAGGGGAAATCTGACATTCCAGTCTCAACTGTTCTGTCTGGTTATGTAATAAAATTAAGGGCAGTTAACTCTGACGGCTTTTCTTTTATAAGATTTCCAGACCAATGCCTTTAATTTTGTACCGTACACACCTAGAGGGCTATAGTGCACAGCCAAGGGTGTGTGTGGTGCCTAGCGCTTCCACTTTTCAGCTTTGTTTAGAGGATACATTCGAGGTGAAGGGGTGCGTGCTTGCAGCCTGATCCCATTGAACGAGGCTGTGAATTCTTCTTTAGGCATCACAGTGCTCTGTCCCAAGGGTGTCCCGGTCCGGGAAGCACTTTCAGCGCGATGTATTTGCTTTAATAGCATCCTGTTGAGAGAAGGAGCAGCCGATGGGAACTAGAGATGTCTCCTTTTTGGTGGGCCTAGACCAGAATGTGATGTGCAGTCAGTATTTAGAAGGCTGGCAGGTGAGCACCCCATTAGAGAGAACAGCAAATTCTGAGATACTGAAAATATTTCATTCAAGAACAGGTGGGCACTTAATTTTTGAACGAAACTTTTTATAAATAAGTGAGTTGAATAGTGTGAGGAGGAGTCATGCTGTTAAGAAGACTTATTAGTTCAGGGTGATGTATTAACGAGTTTACTCTGCAACTTCTGTCTTAACATGAAGCTTCTAGAATCAATGTGGCCTGGTATAAGCAGCTGAGAAACAGTTTAGTCACTTACTTGTCTCTTACAAGAGATTTTCTTTAGGCTTTGGCTTTGTGTAAGGCTTTCGACTTTGCCTCAGAGGCCCAACGAAAGGTTCATGTCTAGGGTTTAAGTGCTGTTGAATTATATGGTGTTGAAGAGACTGTGCACAGCTTCGTTGTGCACTGACCAGAGCCTGCCCAGAGCAGGGGGATCGTGGGCCCCCTCTGTTCATGCTGGGGGGGCTGGGCTGGTTTTGAGCTCTGTTGTGTGACAGGGAAAGGCCTTTTGCCGCGGGACTGTTTGGTGTACGCGAGGTGTGGGAAGCCTGTGTGTGTGCACGCGCGTGTGCACACACGTAGCGCACGTGAGCACTGTGAACGGCAATGTGGTTTTTCTGCTGTGGTTGCTCGGTTTGTTACACCGGGTAGCGGCTCCTTCCCGGACTGCTGTGCTGCTCTCTGGGCAGCTGGCGACGCAGCGCTCCGTGGGGTCGGGGCGCTCTTGCCTAGACCGAGCACAGGGCCGTTGGTGCCAATAGAAAAAGGACGGTGGACTGTTTCTACCTGGTAAAACCATCTTCCTGTGCCCAGACAGGAAAATGCTTTTGCACTTCAGGACCCTGGTGTCCTGC